TCTTGGCTAGACACCAAATTAGTGCTGCCAAGCATTCCCTGGAATCCGCTAGTAAGACTCTAGCAACCTCTGTAGCGTTACGCAGACATGCCTGGCTCCGCTCTTCATCATTGCCATATGACACCAGATCCTCGGTGGAAGACCTTCCCTTTGAAGGTTCTGGATTGTTTAGCTCCACCACTGACACGGTTCTGCAGGAAATGGATAAGAGTATCAAGACGTCCAAGAGTTTGGGGATCTCCCCCACGACCAAATACTCGAAATCCAAGCAGTGGCCTAGGCAACCTTGGTCGACCAGGCAACCGTACAACAAATCACCTACGGATCAATGGCAAAGACCTCCCTCTCAGTCACGGTCTTTTCCCCCGAAAAATAAGGGACAATCGTCCGGTGCCTATAAGTCGAAATTCCCTAAGAATCCCAAACAGGGACTTTGACTTCAACCTTACTGCTCAGACTCGCCTTGCACCCTTCCTGCACGCATGGCTCGCCATTTCTACGGACAAATGGGTGCACTCTATAATAAGAGATGGCTATCTCATAGAGTTTTCTCTGACTCCCAAAATCTCCCGTTTTATCAGAACCCCGGCGTCTCCTGCCCTGCTACAGGAGGTACAATCGCTGACACAAAAAAACGCTATAGAGAAAGTCCCGATGGCGGATTGTTGCCGCGGGATTTATTCCAAATATTTCACGGTCCCCAAGAAGGACGGAGGACTTCGTCCAATCATGGACCTTCGTTTTCTCAATCGGTTCATCATTTACAGAAAGTTTCGCATGACCACGTTGCAAAGCATTTTACCACTCCTGTCTCCAGGGACTTGGATGGTCACTTTAGATCTCAAAGACGCTTATTTTCACGTCTCCATCCATCCTCGTCACAGAAAGTTCCTCAGATTCGCAGTCGGGGAGGACCATTACCAATTCAAAGCCCTTCCATTCGGGCTCTCTACCGCCCCCAGGGTTTTTACGAAGGTAATGGTGGTTGTCGTCGCTCATCTTCGCCTTCAGGGCATTCAGATCTTTCCGTATATAGACGACTGGTTGATGGTGGCAGATTCAAGAGAATGTCTCCTTCAGCACATCACCATCACATTGTCGGTCCTATCCTCCCTTGGAATTCTGGTGAATTTACAGAAATCCATGCTGCAACCTGCAACTCGCGTGCAGTTCATAGGAGCTGTCATAGACTCCCTAGCCACTCGGGCGTACCTTCCTCGCCAACGGGCAGATACCATTCGTCTGGAAATTCAACGTTTGTTCCAGTCCAACGTGACATCAGCGGTCCACATTCAGCGGATCTTGGGTCTCATGGCAGCCACCACTTCCGTGATCGAATATGCACGCCTTCGCATGCGCCCGTTGCAGCTGTGGTTTCTAAAGAAATTTCGCCCTTCCATCCATCCTCCGAGCCTTCAACTGGTAGTGCCTCCGCAGGTCCTCGTCTCCCTGCAGTGGTGGCTCGTGGACACCAATCTGTTGGCGGGTGCACCGTTCCAACCGATCGTTCCCGTAATGTCCATCACCACAGATGCCTCCCTGTGGGGTTGGGGTGCTCATACAGACGACACTTGTGTGGGTGCTCCATGGCAACCCCTTTGGAAGAGTCATCATATCAACTATCTGGAACTGCTGGCCGTAAAATTTGCCCTCAGATCCTTACTCAGACAGGTTGTAGGAAAAGCTGTGTTGATTTTTACGGACAACACAACTGCGATGGCTTATATCAATCGCCAGGGCGGGACCGTGTCCAGGTCCCTTTGCAGGCTAGCTATGGACATATGGGAAGAGTGCCTTCATTGGAACATCACTCTCCAAGCTGCCCATCTGCCAGGAACTTTGAACCAACAAGCGGATTTCCTGAGCAGAGGGGGAGCATCGGACCACGAATGGGAGTTGAACTCAAAGTATCTCCTTCCTCTTTTTCAACATCTGGGACATCCCCACATCGATGTTTTTGCAACTCGATTGAACAAGAAGTGTCCCAGGTTTTGCTCCAGAGCGGGGTTGGACCCTCTGTCAATGGGGGACGGTCTGTTGATGTCGTGGGCTCACGACTTTCTATACCTATTTCCTCCGATTCCGCTGCTCCACAGGGTGCTTGTGAAAATACAACAGGACAAGCCCCATTGTCTCCTGGTAGCCCCCTGGTGGCCTCGGCAGGTGTGGTTTCCGACACTGCTGCGGTTAGCCAAGGGATCCTTCGTACACTTCCCGCAGGAGTTGGATCTCCTCCAAGCTCAGGAAGGCCAGGTCCTTCACTACGATCCTCTGAGTCTCAAGTTGACTCTATGGGAAATACGCTTTCAGTGATGGATGACCGTATCAATGAGGTCCTGTTGAATTGTCGTAAACTGTCTACTAGGACGTCTTACGCAAAGAAGTGGGATTTATTCCTACAGTACTTGAGTTCTTCCAATTTACCTCCTCCGCCAGTGGATTTGAGGTCTATTTTTGCGTTTATTTTGTCCAGAATGGACTTGGGACTCAGTTTTTCTTCAGTTAAGGTGTATTTAGCTGCGGTGTCAGCTTTTCATCCATCTATTGATGGGTTTTCAGTTTTCTCGCATCCTCAGACGAAACAGTTTTGTAAAGGTCTTATTCGCCTGTACCCTCCCCGTCGTTCTCCGACTCCGGCCTGGGATTTGGCTTTAGTTTTGCGGTTTTTGATGGGAAAACCCTTCGAACCACTGGCCACTTGCTCTCTAAAGTTGTTATCGCTCAAGACTGCGTTTCTGGTGGCCATTACTTCTGCTCGTCGAGTCAGTGAGTTGTCTGCTTTAAGGTGTGATCCACCATACTTGATTTTTTCCCCTCATGGGGTGTCGTTGTCTTTGGACATCTCCTTCTTACCGAAAGTCGTTTCGGAGTTTCATCTACGTTCAGATATAGTTTTGCCGTCATTTTTCCCGTCTCCTGCCAATGAAGAGGAACGGAAATTGCACTCTCTGGATGTTAAGAGGGCGTTGCTGTTCTATTTGGGCAGGACCAAGTCTTTTCGTCAGTCTCCAGCCTTGTTTGTTGCTCACAGTATGCCCTCCCTAGGGAAGAAGATCTCTTCCCAGACGCTGTCCAGGTGGATTGTGGAAGTAATCAAGCTATGTTACGCTTTGGCTAAGAGACCTCTTCCAGGTCAACTTCGCGCCCACTCTACAAGGGCGGTGGCGGCTTCCACAGCTTTCCTGAGAGGGATGCCATTGGAGGACATCTGCAACGCTGCGACTTGGGCTACTCCGCTCACCTTCGTGAAGCATTATGCCCTGGATGTCCGGTCTACTCGTCGTGTGGCGTTGGGTCGGTCTATTTTGCAGACGGCGCAGGTGTAGGGCCTCGGCCCCTCCTCCAGGTAAGAGTTATTGCTTGCTATTCTCCCAAGGGTGTGATGCACAGAGACCACGAAGAAGATAGACAGGTTGCTTACCTGTAACTGGTGATCTTCGAGTGGTCATCTGTGCATTCACACCACCCGCCCTCCTTCCCCTCTGCTCTCGGCCCTTCATCTTGTTTCTTTGAAGGCTGTTGGGCGGCGGTCAGAAGGAACTGGCGGGATCTGCGTGCCCCTCCTTGGTCATGCGCAGTGGAGCCGGCGCGTGACCTGGGAGAGGCGCGAAAATCCCTTTTGCTAGCTACCGGTACCGAGAAGGTTCAGCGCAGGCGCAGTATTCCCAAGGGTGTGAATGCACAGATGACCACTCGAAGATCACCAGTTACAGGTAAGCAACCTGTCTTTTTCTGCCTTTGGTGAGAAAGATGATATCTGTTTGTTCCTGTGCACGTTTCTTCACAAGGCTGATAGATTTCCATTCTGTACGGCTAAATGTGGTGCCTTCCATGGAGATAGATCAAGATGGGTAGCCGTGTTAGTCTGTCTGTAGCAGTAGAAAAGAGCAAGAGTCCAGGAGCACCTTCAAGACTAACAAAATTTGTAGCAGGGTAGGAGATTGCATGAGTGGGGCAAGTGATGCTTTGTATTCTTGGTGCTTGGGGGGCGGCAACAGTGGGAGGGCTTCCAGTGTCCTGGCCCCACTGCTGGACCTCCCAATGGCACCTGGTATTTTTGGCCACTGTGTGTCACAGAGTGTTGGACTGGATGGACCATTGGCCTCATCCAACATTGGCTTCTTTTCTGTTCTTATGAGTCGCTGCTCACTTCTTCAATGACTCATGAAAGCTACTCCCCTGCCACAATTTTTGTTAGTCTTTTGCTACTGGACTCTTGCTCTTTTCTACTTCTACAGGCAGACTAACACGGCTACCCGCTTTGAGTACCTGGAGACAGGCTCGTAGCTACAGTGGGGCATTTTGGGGCATGGCCCCCCTGACATCCTGCCAAGACCCCCCTGACTTCCATGCACCCCCCAGGCCCTCCAGCACTTTGGGCCACCTGGAGGACTCCCAACTCTCTGGGCCACCTGGAGACTCTCTGGGCCACCTTTATGTTTATGAATTTCAACAGGAAAGAAGAGAGTTTAAAAATAATACAGGGCATGGTTTCCTGTCCTGAAAAACACAAAAGGCTCTACATCCGACAATAGCACTACAGTTAAGATTAGAACCTCCTCAGGAAACAGTCCATATACAAAAGAACCTCCTCAGGAAAGCTCCTCCATTAGCATGTTCACAGCCTGGGGAACTCCTACAAGATAATGACTCCGCCCTACCCCACCTTCCTGAGTAGATACCATTTTCTTCTCACCTTCACACAGAGAGCACTCTGTCTTTCTGTGTTATACCTCTGAGGATGCCAGTCACAGCTACTGGTGAAACGTCAGGTCCTACAATGCCAAGACCATGGCCATACAACCCGGAAAATCTGCCAAAAGCTAAGTTGGAAACATTTAAGTCCACCATGGAGAAGACCTTGGGACTCTTCCTGTCTGCCAAAGCCAGTGATTGACTCCTTCATCCGTGGACCTGTCTTCTCCACTTAACTTTTTTGCTTGCTTCTTCTCATCCCTTAAGCTGCAGGTGGTGGGGCTTCATAGTTCCTCTTGAAGACCATGCCAGGCTTGTACTGCCTGCCAACCTGGACTGCCCTCCCGCTGAAGAGCTCGTGTGTGAAGGCCTGTGCCAATGGGTATTCCCTCGGGTTCACCGCCTACCTTACTTACATCAACTTGGAGCATGAAGCTGTAGAAGGTGAGAACTCTTCAAAGTCGCACTAGTGGACTGCGCGAGCATTGATGGTAGGCGCTGTTCCCGGTTTTAGGAGTGCTGCCATGATTCTCGATCCCTTCTGCTGTTTCAGGTCCTTGGCTCATGTAGACATAATCTGTAATAACAAGGTTTAGTTATTTTATTACAGTAGATCAGCCCTCATTCTGAGTTCCCTTTTTGGAGATCCCTCCTCACTGAGTAGACCCCCTAAAGGTAGACAGTGGAAAAGGAAAAGAACCATAAAATCCTACTTCTCACCTCTGAGCTACAGGAAATGACTCTTTATGAGCCAGTAAGGAGGCTGTTTTTGGAACACCTAACCTGGGACCAATGCTCCCTCTAAGCTGTAGAGTCTTGTGAGCAAAGATTCTACTTTGTGAGCTACTGGCATTAAAGCTATGAGCGAGCGATTTGGCTACTGCATAAATTAGTTTGCTCTGGAGCCATCCTCCCTGAGCTAGGACAAAAATGTGTGAGCCGGAGGCTAAAAAACTGTGAACTAGCACACACTAACTCATCTTAGAGGGAACACTGCCTGGGACTACAGTTCCCAGAGTGCATTGTGTGTCTTAAAGATACATAACAATTTTTACTGACTACTATTACTATTACTCACTGGAGAAGAGAAAGATTGAAGGTCAAAGGAGACGGGGATGGCAAAGGATGAGATGGTTAGACAGTGTCATAGATGCAACGAACATGAAGTTGAGCAAACGTCAGAGGACGGCAGAAGACAGGAGGGCCTGGCGTGACCTGGTCCATGGGGTCGCGAAGAGTCGGACTCAACTGTGCGACTGAACAACAACAACAATTACTTACAGTTATCTCTGCCGGGGGCAGCACAGCATCTGCTCAACAGTGTCATTTAGCCCTGGTGTTATTAAAATGGGGGATGTGGAAGAGTATAGTATAGCCCGGTCTGGTCAGAACTCAGAAGCTAAGCAGGGTCAGTACTTGAATGGGAGACCACCAAGGAAAACACTGTAGAAGAAGGCAATGGCCAACCACCTCTGCTTCTCACTTGAAAGACCCTTGCTGGGGTCGCCGTAAGTCGGCTGTGACTTTACACTTTACACACACACAGTTAAAGATGAGTTGCAGGGATATAATTTTGTGAGTGAAGGTGGAGTATGGGTTTGCGGGTGAAGCGGGTGTGAGTGATGTCTTCCATCATTCACTGCTGCAGCCGTTACAAGGAGGAGTCCCAAATATACAAATTCCACTAGTAGAAAACACCTTAATGCATACTGTAACTATAATAAGGCATTTTGGAAAATGTTATGACTATGTGGACTCCTCCTGTCAAGTTATACTGACTACATGGGCTTTATGTCTTATCGTCAAGAGAGGAAATATTGTGTCTTATGCCTTATTATAGTTACAGCAGGGCTATTTTTGGGCAGGAACGCACAGGAACGGAGTTCCGGCTGGCTCCCAAGTTGGCCACGCCCAGCAGGAACTCATTAGCATAATAGGCCACACCCAACAGCAGAAACTCATTAGGATTGGCTACATTAGGGGTGTGTGGCCTAACATGCAAAGGAGTTCCTGCTACCAAAAAAGCCCTGGGTTTTGACAACAAACAAGGTAAACAGAATAACAAGCAAAAGGTGGGTGTGGCTGGATGACCATGGGGTAACATGAGGGTGCAGCCTAATGGGCTAATGAGCTGTGCTGTCAGGGGTGTGGCCTAATATGCTAATGAGTTCCTGCTGTTGGGTGTGGCTTATTATGCTAATGAGTTCCTGCTGGGCTTTTTCTACAAAAAGAGCCCTGAGTTACAGTATGCATTCATGTTGTTGTTGTGACACCACCAACTCTATAATTCTTTAATGTATTGTTTTGGCAATCTTTGATGGTGTTTTCTACTAGTGGAATTTGTACATTTGGGATTCCTGTTATACTAGTCTTTTCCCCTTGTTGTTTGGAGTTACAAGAAGGAGGCAGATCGGCTCTGGGGGTGCAGGACGAGCAAGCTGAACGCGGGGGTGAACTATCTGTTGGGAATTAAGGCGGTTTCCATCGCACAGGGGTATTTGTTTATCCGCTGGAGGAGTCGGAGGTGGTGGCTGGCTTTGAAGCCATGACAGGGAGCAGAACCTTCACCTTCCAGATCCAGAACCGGCACCGAGCAGAGGATTGCTGCCTTGACTGTAGCTCCACTTTGAACCAACCGCTCCGCTGCACCAATGGTAAGTGGTGGTCACTCCCCTTCTGCAGTGTTTTGACCCCAGCGATGGCAGCGGTAATAGACACAGAGCAGGGGGTCTCCAACCATCTTGAGCCTATGGGCGTCTCTGGAATTCTGACCCAGCAAGGTGGGCACATCCGCCAAATGGTGGCCACAAAATGGCAGCCACAGGAGGTGGAGTCTATTGGGTATTGTAAATAAGAAGCAGGAGACTGACCAGTTATGAAGGTGCACAGAGAGTTTATATAGTTATAAAGGTGAATATATACAGAGATATTTACAGGCTATTGAACAGCGTGTCGTGCCTTAGTCTATGAGAACTGAGTCCCCTCCAGCTTACTAAGCTGATTGCTATTATGCTAAACCCCAGCCAATCTCCAACAAGGTGATGTAATCACTAACTCTAACAAGACCTGAAAGAGCAACACCTGCTAGAAACACCTGGCTGTAATTACATAATTACTAGCATGACAGCTAGGTCTGACAAACAGATCAAACTGATCTATAGTAACTGCTTGCTACCTCTATCTGACATATATCTCAATAGAGTCAACCAAAAAATGGCTGCCACGGCTTACTTCAGTCACACAGTGATGGCCCTTGTGCTGTGGTGGCAGCTGCTGCCAAAGTAAAGTTTATAAAAATCTGTACAGCCAATCAAATCTCCAATGGCCAATCAGAAGCTTCGTTGGGGAAAAGCCTCACCTGGCCTTGCCCACTTTCTAAAAACTCTTGGTGGGCAACCAGGAAAGGTATCGATGGATGCCATGGTGACCACAGGGATTGTGTTGGGGACCCCTGCCAGAGGGTTTGTATCAAAACTTAGACAGCCTGGGGGGGGGGGGTTAGAATAGTTGCATTGGGATAAGGTTCCTCTGCTTTAGCTGTGTGATAAAGTGAGCTCCTCTCCATTCCAAGAGTGCCTGTCCCAACAGTTCAAAATGCCCTCCATTAATAGAATCATAGATTCACAGAGTTGGAAGGGTCCATACAGGCCATCTAGTCCAACCCCCTGCTCAGTGCAGGATCAGCCTAGAGCATCCCTGACAAGCGTTCATCCAGCCGCTGCTTAAAGACCGCCAGTGACAGGGGACCATCTCCCCAGGCAGCTGATTCCACAGTCACACAACTCTTACTGTCAAAAAGTGTTTCCTAATATCCAGCCGGTACCTCCCCGCCCTTAATTTAAACCCATTCTTGCGAGTCCCCTCCTCTGCTGCCACCAGGAACAGCTCCCTGACCTCCTCTGACAGCCCTTCAAAAACTTCAAGAGAGCAAACATGTCCACTCTCAGCCTCCTCTTCTCCAGATGGAACATTCCCAGGTCCCTCAGTCTTTCCTACTAGGGCTTGGTCTAAAGAGCTTGAATTCCTTAGGACTAGCTACATTAGGCAGGTTTGATTCAAGTCTCGGCTCGGCCATGAAGTTCTCTACCCTCAAATCAAGGCCTTAGTCAAGCCTGCTTTTTCGGCACAGTATTGGCCGATGCAGCTGGGAGCTTGACCAGGACCGTCCAGGCTAGCCCAACCTTGTCAGATCACAAAAGCTAAGCAGGGCCGGCCCTGGTGGATGCTTGAATGGGAGACCACCAAGGGATTCCAGGGTCGCTACACAAAGGCAGGCAATGACAAATGTCTTTTGCCTGGAAGACCTGCGAGGTCGCCATAAACCAGCTGTGATGCAAAAGGCACTTTTCACCACCATCCCGCTGAACCGTCATTAGGATTACAAAGGTGATACTTGTGAAAGGCAGTGCGCTGTGAAGAAAAGTGCTATGCAAATAGCCTTTAGTATCTCACTGAAACTTCCAGACACCTCGTTGACGGTGGCTATTTTTGGACAGGAACACACAGGAACGGAGTTCCGGCTGGCTCCCGAGTCGACCACGCCCAGCAGGAACTCATTAGCATAATAGGCCACACCCAACAGCAGAAACTCATTAGGATTGGCTACATTAGGGGTGTGTGGCCTAACATGCAAAGGAGTCCCTGCTACATAAAAAGCCCTGGGTTTTGACAACAAACAAGGTAAACAGAATAAGAAGCAAAAGGTGGGTGTGGCTGGATAACCACACTTCTGGTAACATGGGGGTGTGGCCTAATATGCTAATGAGCTGTGCTGTCAGGGGTGTGGCCTAATATGCTAATGAGTTCCTGCTGTTGGGTGTGGCCTAGTATGCTAATGAGTTCCTGCTGGGCTTTTTCTACAAAAAGAGCCCTGCGTGATTGCATTTTATATCCCACCTGTTCTGCGGACTCTTGGCAAGCAGAGAGGTGAGTTAGCCCTATAGGGTTGCCAGGTCCCCCCTGGCCACCGACGGGAGCTGGGGGGTAGGGCTGCCAGATCCAGCTTGGGAAACTCCTGGAGACTTCGGGGTGGAGCCTGGGGAGGACAGGGACCTCAGTGGGGTACAATGCCTTGGAGTCCGCCGTCCAAAACATCCCTGTTCTCCAGAGGAGCTGATCTCTGTAGTCTGGAGTTGAGGTGTAATTCCAGGGGATCTCAGGTCCCACCTGGAGGCTGGCATCTCTAGATTCACTGCGACCACTCAGTGAGCACTAACCCTACCATTCCAGTCCAGTCCACTTTTGCACACACCAGGCTGGTTAACGCGATTTCATTTAGTCGCACCCCACTCTAAAAAAAACTTAAAGTGTTGCTTTTGCTGCTCCGACAGATGTGGCCGTTGGATCCCTTTTCTCATTCTTATCCAAGGTCCCAAGCCGAGACGTAGTACACCAACCTAATTAATAACCCAATAAAGTCACTGCCTCCTGTTGTACTTTCTTGCAAGCAAACTAAGTATCTCATCATATTTGCTGTATTTATTTTCCCAACTTTGTTTTGATCACGTTAGTCCTGACTCCCGACCTAAAAGGGTGCACCACAGAGACAAGTTTACGAGCTTCGTGAGAACTAAATCTGAACTAGGAGGGACATCCAAGGGGTTCCAGTCCTAATGTAGTTTCATCCGCACTTCCAGTTTTAATCGAACATGGCCATTTGGGTGGCACGTAGGGTGGCCAGATCTGGGTCGGAAAATGCCTGGAGACTTTGGGGGCAGATCCGGGAGAGGGCGGGGTTTGGGGAGGGGAGGGGCCTCAGCAGGGTCCAATGCCACAGAGTCCACTCTCCAAAGCAGCCATTTTCTCCAGGGCAGCTGATGATCAGCTGTAAAAGTGGGAGATCTCCAGGCCTGACCTGGAGGCTGGCAACCCCAGCAGCACCCAAGGCCAGAGAAACAGGGTTTCCACAGAGATGTTGGAGTAGAGCTACTCTTCCATCTGCATCATGGTCTTGCCAACCAAATAGTGGCTCTCAGGTGGGAATAGGCAGGAAGGCTGTATGTCACTATAGTATTTTCTTGGCACTCTGGGTAATTCAGGGAGAGGTATGGCTTCAAGACAGAGAGGGCTCTTCCACATTCTCAACTTTGTCAATTTCTGTCCATTTTCTGCAGTGTTTTACTCCCTCTAGTGGTCGATTCAATATTACACCACCGGACATACAGCAATGTAATATCGAATTGACCACTAGAGAGCGCAAAATGCATGCCGAAAAGGGGAGGAAGAAACCCCGAAGCAATAGGGACATACAAATGAGGAAAATGATTATGCGGAAGAGAACAGTGGCACAGAGATTTAGGACCCTCCACCGGAAGAAGGAGGAGAAGCCGAGCCGGAACAGCAAGCCCCACCACCTGGGTGCTGGTAGGCAGCCCCGCCCCTGTACTATGTGGCCGTAGTTAGGGAAAAGTAGTCTTAGACTTGTATGCAAACCGCCCAGAGACCCTTCGGGGTCAGGGCGGTATATAAGCTGAATGTATAAATAAATAAAATAAATAAATGTGTAAATAATTTAATATTTAAATTGTTTTCGAGAACACGCCTTGTGTACAGAAGGCACTTCTTGACTCTCCGTCTTCTACCCAGGTCACTTGATCCTTGACGAAGACTTGGCGCGTTCCATGTTCATCATGAGCACCGGCCCCGTCGGGCCCTTGGAAACCTTGACGGTGGTCTTCAGCAGCAACCAGGAGCTGGCGACCCTGCCGAACGGCGCCCTGCGCGTCCTCTTCCCCTCTGTGCTCACGCCCTTCGTTCTCTCTGTCCCTGAAAGTGAAAGTGAGGCGGGAGGCTTGTGTGACGACAGGTTGGCCCTATGGTGATTTTCATGGCTTCCTTGGAGTTTATGCCATATGGCAGGGGTGGTGGTGGAGAGGACTGAGGAGGCCACGGAAGCTGCCGCTTACCCGTGCAGGCTCCCAGTTTGCAGCCCAGTATCACCTAATCCGGGGGTCCCCAGCTTTTCGCAGCCTGCAGGCACCTTTGGAATTCTGAGATAGGACGGTGGGCGCAGCCACAAAATGGCTGCCACAAAATGGCTCCTGCAGGAGGCGGAGCCAGCCACAGAATGGCTGCCGCAGCTTAACTTCAGTCACACAGTGAAGATCCTTCTGCTGTGGTGGCAGGTGCTGCCAAGGCAAGGTTTTTTTAAAATCTGGACAGGAAATCAGTCCTCTAAAAACACTGGGTGGGGAGCTGTGGAGTCTCGTGAGCAAAAAATCTACTTTGGGAGCTACTGGCATTAAAGTTGTGAGCGAGCGATTGGGCGACGGCATAAATCAGTCTGCTCTGGAGCAGTGTTCCCTCTAAGCCGAGTTACCGCGAGCTAGCTCACAGTTTTTTAGCCTCCGGCTTGCAGATTTTTGCCTTAGCTCAGGAAGGAGGGTTCCAGAGCAAACAAATTTATGCCGTAGCCAAATCACTCACTCGCAACCTTAACACCACTAGCTCACAAAGTAGAATCTTTGCTCACAGGCCTCCACAGCTGAGAGGGAGCATTGCTCTGGAGCCATCCCTTCCTGAGCTAAGACAGAAATGTGTGAGCCAGAGGCTAAAAAAACTGTGAGCTGGCTCACACTCACTCAGCTTAGAGGGAACACTGGCGGGCACCAGGAAAGGTGTTGGTGGGCACCCGTGGGGACCCTGGTGGGGACCCCATAATCTAAACCTTGTAGGACACTCTTCCTAGGGTGGTCTTCCCTGTGCTGTGTAGCCTTGATGTTGCTTCGTGAGGGGCATTGCTGCCGATTGGCTCTCTACTGGATAAACGGAGAGCAGCAAAAAGGTGTTTGGAGGATTCTTCCCTTAAAGATAGTTTGAGACAGGGGTCATTTCCTGCAGGAGCGCACAGGAGCGGAGCTCCAGCAGCAAAGAGCCCAGGGGGTGGACACATGCAACAAGCCCACCCCCTTCTCCCAGCAGCCCTCAGTCAGAGCAAGAAGCAGCCAGGTAAGTTGTAGAGCTTCCCCTTCCCCCCTGGTCCAAAACAGTGCAGTGGCACCTTTAAGACCAAGTTTTATTCAGGTACAAGCTCTCCCTCCTCTGTGAGGGCAGATCTGCACGTTCCCCCCCCACCCTCCAATAGCTAGCAATCCAAAACAGTCCAGTGGAGCCTGAGCGGTGGGTGTTGCCTTCTGACACACTTCTGTGAATTTAGGCAGATCATGAGAAGGGAGGGCAGGAATGGTTGCATCTGAGCTTAGTTCTCGTGGCCCTTTCTCACACACCCGGAGAAAGGCTGATCGCCACTTTGGAGCCAGGAAGTGATTTTCTCCAGGCCAGTTTGGCTGGGGATCCTGGAGGTTTTTTGTCATCTTCTGGGCATGGAACAGGGGTCACTGGAGGTGTGGGGGGGAGGTATTTGTGAATTTCCTGCATTGTGCAGGGGGTTGGTCTAGATGACCCTGGAGGTCCCTTCCAACTCTATGATTCTATGACAGCTCATACCCCAAAAATCGCGTTGGTCTCTAAGGTCCTTTGGGACTTGAATCTAATTGTTCTGTTAAGAAGGCTTTTAGGAACTAGAAAGGATTTGGAGGAGAACAAAGATGACACAGGTTTTGGAATATGTCTGTGAACACTTTTAGCTCAGAGCAGGGGTGGAGTTTCTCTTTTTTCCCCATTACCATTTTTTTTATTGCGGCCAATGGGCCACACATTTCTTTTTCATTACTCTCCTTTATATCCTTATGGAGACCTGCTATTTTGAACCAGTATTGCTTACCTATCTCATCGGATTTTCTCTCTAAACAAATCCTCCACTCTATGATATGACTCTATGATATCACTCTATGAGGACGGCGGAAGACAAGAGGGCCTGGCGTGATCTTGTCCATGGGGTCGCGAAGAGTCGGACTCGACTGTGCGACTGAACAACAACAACAAATTATATCCTTTAGACCTTAAAATTTCCCACCATTTAATTTCTTGCTCCTTTTCTATGATAGTTTCTAATGGCGCCCATCTAGAGGGTCTTCTTAGCCAGTGCGGTTGCCATTTCCTCCAGACTTCTAATGTTGATCTTCTAGGGCCTATTGTTAATTTCAGATCTTTAGCCTTAACTTTGTGAAAAAATACCTAATCTTCCTATATTGTGATTCATCTCATCCTCAAATCTAACCCATTTCAGTTCTTTTTCCTCACCTAATTCTAGTAATGATTTCAGTTGGAATGCCTCATAGTACTTATTTAAGTCATACCCAGTGAGTGTCCATGACATGAATGGGGATTTGAAACCAGGTCTCCCAGATACTAGTCTGACACACTTAACCACTATACCCCACTGGCTCTCTCTATATACAGGGGTCATTTCGCAGAAAAAGAGCTAGGGGGACTCATTAGCATAACTCATTAGCATATGCCACACCCCCTGACATCACCGGAATTGTGTCCTCCCCACAGCCGGCGGCGACCTCCAGCAGGGAGCTCCAGGCCCCGCCCTCCCGCACCTCACCCGGGGGGATGGCGTCCCCCGCGTCCCCCCCCAAATGACCCCTGTCTATATATATCAAATGCCCCACCCCTTTAATAATTCTCATTCTCTTGAGAAGCAGCTGACATCACCCAAAAGCGGTATGCTGAGAATGTGGGCTGAATGGAATTGTGCCGGGTCAGGTGTGCAGGGAAACCCTTGTGAAATGACCCCAGAAATGTACCCTGACTCGTGACTCAGTTAGCATGGTTTTGCAAAGCTGTTGAAAACGAGCCCTTTGACACTGAAGCAGAACGATCCCTTGCGGTTTCCTTGCTCGTTGTTCTTTTAAACGTACCCTGATGGGAGAGATACGTAAAAATAGATTTTCTCCTTCCAAAAACGGTGGCCGTTCCAGGCTGCTGTCTCTCTGGGATACGTTCGTACAGCTCAGGACAACAATGGGGTTTTCTTTAAGCTGGTAATGAGATTTCCCCTCTTTATTTAAAAAAAAGCCTCACTCCAAGGATGTATTTGCATTTTCCCCAACCAAGCCTGGTAGTAAAAATCCATGCGATAAGTTCCTGGCACGCCTTAGGCTGGGTAGCCAATATATCCCATGCGCATAATGGATCATTTTCAGATCTGTCAAGATAAAGGTCGCATATCAAGTTGCTCTCTACCCTTTTCGGGCCAGGCAAATCTAACATATGATTTTTTTTCTCTGTTCTGCTTCAGTTCCACCAGTTGCTTTAGATCCAGTGGGATGAAGAGTGAGCAGTCTTTCCTCCTGCCACCCAAAGACACAGATATCTTCAAAGGGGACGTCTACAATCCCTTCCCCTACGAGTTCAGTTTTGAAATGCTGGTTAAAGGACCCTGTTTGCTGGCAGGTATTTGTCCATAGCATATATTTATTGGGATATTTGGTTAATATAGGCCCCGGTCACACGGGCCAGATAACGCGGGGGGGGGGGCGTGGCTGATTGCCCCGGAGCAAAATAAAGCACGGTAGCCCAATCACACGGTCCCCCGAGTCTCCGTGCTTCAGCTGTTAGCTGGTGATCACACGGCAATGCTGCAGCGTGGCAAAGAAGCGGCGCAGCACAATCACACAAGTGTTTCGCGTTTGTGTGCATGCGCAGTTCCGCGGAGCAGCACTGCTTTCAGTGTCATGTTTGTGCGCATGCGCTTACGAAAAACATCCGGTTTGCGACAGGACGTGGACGGGCGCCGGATGCCACGAGATACTAGCACTCCCGCGATCAGACGGCCGCCTGTGCCGCGTGTTTTCCGGATACTAGTGCACTTTTTTTGGTACTTTTTAACTCCGCATCTTTGGCGGGACGCCACGGGTTGGCCATGGGTGCGCGACGCTTCCCAGATGTTGCAGTGTGATCGCGCCCCGAAAATCCGCACAACATTCGTGCCTTTTGCGCAGCAAATTCTCCGTGTGACTGCGGCCATAGTAGAGTTTTGCCCGGTCACAGAAGCCTGCTATTGAGTGCGGTAAATAAATCTCCCAGGAAGAATATTGCAAAAAAGGGTAAACTTTATTTAAGTAGGTCCAGTTCACATTCAGGTTGCAGTTGAAAGAAGAGAAAGAAGCCTAATCTAAAGAGTCCTTCCCCTATGACAAATGAGGGCATTGTCTCTACAGGGGAAACCTGCAGAGACAGGTGCCTCTCTCCATGTTGAGAGAGTGAGAGGATAAACAGGGGAGACCTGCAGAGACAGGTGCCTCCATGGAAGGCCATGTTGAGAGAGTGAGAGGATAAACAGGGGAGACCTGCAGAGACAGGTGCCTCCATGGAAGGCCATGTTGAGAGAGTGAGAGGATAAACAGGGGAGACCTGCAGAGACAGGTGCCTCCATGGAAGGCCATGTTGAGAGAGTGAGAGGATAAACAGGGGAGACCTGCAGAGACAGGTGCCTCCATGGAAGGCCATGTTGAGAGAGTGAGAGGATAAAGAGAGAGAAGGGGTCAGAGGGCAGCTCCCATGTTTAGACAAAGAGAGGGATCCTATTCAAGGAGATAACTCCTATATGCACTTAGAGTGACGTAGCGTGCCCCCCAACGTCCAGGCATGCTGAGTCACTCAGTCCAACAATATTCTCCCTTCTGTTTTTGAAAGACCACACTGTTGTTCAAGCCGAATCTGCAACCCTGTCGTATCCATGCAAGGAAGTCCCCTTTCTGCACAGATACCCCCTCTGTTCCTGGCAACCTACACGGCCAAAAAGGGAACTGGTCAGGTTACAGACTAGCACTGCTTACCTGGGCTTCTGGTCCAAAGGCTGCCCTGCTAGAATTTGGTCCAAAAGCTGGAGGAGTGCCTGCTTTAGTTGCAGGGTTGCCAGCTCCAGTTTGGAAAATTTCTGTAGAGTTTGGGGGTGGGAAAAAACTGAGGGGGGGGGAAATTGGGGGTGGAGCCTGAGGGGAGGAACTTCAATGGGGTATAATGCTGTAGAGTCCACCTTCCAGAGAGGACGTGATCTCCAAGGGAACTGATTTCTGGTTCCCAGAAATGAGTTGTAATCCCAGGGGATCTCCAGCCATCACCTGGAGATTGGCAACACTATAATTTGGGGGGTTTCTGATGCTTCAGATGTTCTGCCGTATAATGCATTTATTTATTTATTTACGTTCAATTTATATCCCGCTTTGCCGGTGTAAGCTGGCTCAAGGCGGCTTACACAAGTTAAAATGCAGTAAAACCGATAAATGCAATAAAATTACAATATGAACAATTACATAAAGTCAGGGCTCTTTTGGGGGAGGAACGCACAGGAACGGAGTTCCGGCTGGCTCCCAAGTTGGCCACGCCCAGCAGGAACTCATCAGCATAATAGGCCACACCTAACAGCAGAAACTCATTAGGATTGGCTACAATTAGGGGTGTGTGGCCTAACATGCAAAGGAGTTCCTGCTCCAAAAAAAAGCCCTGGGTTTTGTCAACAAACAAGGTAAAGAGAATAAGAAGCAAAAGGTGGGTGTGGCTGGATGACCACACTTCTGGTAACAGGTGTGTGTGGCCTAATATGCAAATGAGCTGTGCTGTCAGGGGTGTGGACTAATATGCTAATGAGTTCCTGCTGTTGGGCACCACCTATTATGCTAATGAGTTCCTGCTGGGCTTTTTCTACAAAAAAAGCCCTGCATAAAGTGCTAATATAAACAGATGGTGGGAATTTCGGCACATGGTCCGATGGGGAGAGGCCATGTCCGGCATTGTTACGTAGGGCTGTAGTATGTTCAGTTTACGAAAGTTGTCAGTGGCGGCTCCTAATCGAAGACCTGGTGGAAGAGCTCCGTTTTACTGGCCCTGCGGAACTGTAGAAGGTTCCGCAGGGCTCCGATCTCCTCCAGGAGCTGATTCCACTGTGGAGCCACCACTGAATCAGATGCGGCATGATTAGGCTTGCCAAGTCCCCCCAGGGGGCAGGGAAACCCCGCCCCAGAGGCCCGTTCCCCGCCGTCGGCAGATCGGGCCCCGGGGGAAACTCCACCCCGACGTGCACGTCACCCGGAAGTGACGCGGGCACTCCGGGCACGCTGGGGGTGGGGCAACAGTCATCCGAGGGAAAACTCTATGGCTGCTGCATAAACTAGTTTGATCGGGAGCCATCCTTCCTGAGCTAAGACAAAAATGTGTGAGCCGGAGGCTAAAGAAACCTGTGAGCTAGTTCACACTAACTCAGCATAGAGGGAACACTGGATATGAACTCTCAACCTCCATCCATCCAAGTCAGGGAGATCTGGACTTTTTTTGGTGTAGTGGTTAAGTGCGTGGATTCTAATGTGGGAGAACCGGGTTTGATTCCCCACTTCTCCAGTTACGCATGCTGGATGACCTTGGGCAAGCCATAATTCTCTCAGAGCTGTCCTTGAAAAGACCAGTTTCTGTCAGAGCTCTCTCAGCCCCACCTACCTCACTAGGCGTCTGTTGTGGGGAGGGGGAGGGAAATGAGTTTGTAAGGCGCTCTGAGACTCCTTTGGGTAGTGAAGGGCAGGGTATAAATCCAATCTCCTCCTCTTCCTCCCTCACATCTGCCTTTCCTTTCCTTTCACACCCTCCCTGATGTCAGAAACTGTGATACTAGGACAGTGGAGGATAATTTCTTGCACTAAGGAGGGCCGAAGGAAGTGGCGGTGAATGAAACCGTTCCAGAATTGCTTCGCACACTTTGCAGCAGCGGGTGAAGGATTTATAAAAGCTCATTGAAACTAGAGGACCATTTATTTTTTAACAGGGCAAAGGAAGAATATCAGGCTCCTTAGTCAGTTCACACCACACAGGACTTCATAAGAAGATAAGTGTTTATTGGCAGATCCAGTACTAAAGAACACGTGTACAACTTGTGTCAGGAATGGACGGCAGTAGAAGGGCCTCTGACTTATAGTGAAATCCAACATTCCCCCTGTAAGCATAAGCCAATGGTTATAGTTCGCGCGCTTGCCAAAGCAAGCAGGCAGAGCAGTGAAGCCATTAACTTTTCCAGCTGTGGAAGTGGTAGCTGGAACATCTGCAAGGTCAAGCATAAGATAGCAGACAGTAGCTGGGCAGGGTAGAGCTGAGAGCGAGAAGGAGGATACCCCTCCACCATCCAGATCCATGACAGGGCTACCTAACAAAGAATCAACATCATTTTTAAAAAAAAAAAAGTATCCTTGCATATCTACATTTTTTTAAAAAGCCTCTCTCTCTTTTTTGCTGAGCCTATTATTTTATCTGATGACAGATGGATGCGGGAGAGAAAGGAGGGAACGGGAGGGAGGGAGGCGGAAGAAGCTTGGTGGAACTCGGAGCGTATGCTGGAGACCAGCACGGGGAATTAATCCCATTACGCTTTGGCTGAAATCCCATGCCTTCTTAAGAGGCTGCGCTCCGGGCTTCGGTCTCATAAAAATGTCTCCTGTGCTGAAGAACGGCTTTTGTGTCAGAAATAAAAACGGGATGATGAATATTATCGACCTCAGCAAAAGATCCAACATCTGCATTCTGTGTAAAGCTGCTTGGGTAGAGAGGCGCTGCTGTGAACCATCATTTTAAGCTTTTATAAATTTATGAACCTCAGAAGAGCCCTGCTGGGTCAGACCAGTGGTCCATTTAGTCCAGCATCCTGTCTCACACAGCGGCCCACCAGTTCCTATGGAGGGCCAACAACAGGGCAGAGAGGCCGAGGCCTTCATAAGAACCTCAGAAGACCCCTGCTGGATCAGACTGGTGGTAAATCCAGTCCAGCATCCTGTCTCACACAGCAGCCAACCAGGTCCTCTGGACAGCCAACAACAGGGCACAGAGGCCGAGGTCTTCATAAGAACATCAGAAGAGCCCGGCTGGATCCAACCAGTGGTCCCTCTAGTCCAGCATCCTGTCTCACACAGCCAGTTCCTCTGGACAGCCAACAACAGGGCACAGAGGCTGAGGCCTTCATAAGAACATCAGAAGAGCCCTGCTGGATCAGACCAGTGGCCCATCTAGTCCAGCATCCTGTCTCACACAGTGGCCAACCAGTTCCTCTGGAGGGCCAGCAACAGGGCATAGAGGCCTTCATAAAAACGTAAGAAGAGCCCTGTTGGATCGGACCAGTGGTCCATCTAGTCCAGCATCCTTTCTCACACAGCGGCCAGCCGGTTCCTCTGGAGGTCCAACTACAGGGCAAAGAGGCCAAGGCCTTCATAAGAACATCAGAAGTCCATCTAGTCCAGCATCCTGTCTCACTCAGTGGCCAACCAGTTCCTCTTGGAGCACAAATCCGTGCCCCATGAGTTTCCGGGGTCTAATGGGGAACACACAGTCGGAGTCCAGTGAGTTCTATAACCAACTGTTTATTACAATAACAGGAGATACAGAACTGGAGGCCAGAGCACCCAGTGTTACCAAGTTGA